GAGAAGGTGTGATGTGCAAGTGACAAACTTGTAGTTTCACATTATGTTTACTGTATCAGTGTGATTTAAAATAAAGAAACTAAATTACCTACAGGCCATTTGTGAAGAGCAGGTTGACTGAGAAACAGTTTTTACTTCTTGTTTTTCAAAAAGATCAAAAAGGGACACTATGCCAATTTTTCACATTTTTAAATCCTTTTCTTGAGCCAGTATGTGCTAAAATGACCCTTTATAAGGTTAATGAAATGTTAGTCAGACCCCACCGCTCCCTGTGGCCAGAATACTGCACTTACAACTTCAGAGTACCTATCTGGTCCTTAGGTTCCATACCTGGCACTGCAGTCTGCTTCCAGCACGTTTCCTGCATATTCTAGATCGTGAACACAGGTGATTGGTTTGATGTAGTGCTGAATCGCTCCTCTAGAAACAAAAGAAGGCTGAGGAGACATTTCAGCTCTTAGATTAAGGTGTTAAAAAGAGGAGGCAAGTTTCACTTTTGGTTCTGCTAAACAGACACTAGGGGGTGCTAAAAACAACCAAAATGCCCAGTTTCCCTTTGACACGCAGGCGTAACATGAAAATAGTTTGCAATCCTTATTTCCTGCATTAGCTTCTGATAGAAAATAGACTAAAAAAAGGTTCCGTTCAGAAAATCCTGACAGATCTACATCACACTGTCTCTCGACTTTCATGGACTCACCAATCTTGACTCATGATGGGGAAAGCTGTTTTTGGTTTAGCGTCCAGGAAACAGCAGAGAACGTCTCGACTAGCAGAAGCTGGCCGTTTGCATTAGCAACTCAACAACACAGCAAAACTCCTTTAGGGTTGTATTATTTGTGGAGACATAACATCAACATTGCAGAGTAGAGCTGCACAATATATCATAAATATATCGTTATCGCGATATCAGCATGCGCAATATGCATATCGCAAAGAACAGATAAATATCACAATGAATGGTCAGCTCAAATGTTTGCTACTCATAATGCATTCTGTCAATCAAACAGAAGCATGATGTTTTTTTAACAAATCAAATAGAGCTCTTCAGCCATTTGGTCAAATTTTTGAAATTTCTTTTATTTTTGATTATTTTTGTTCCTGAGTTAAGTTTTTATTTATCGCAAGTAATATAGTCATCGCAATGTTAATCACTGTTATTGCATATCGCAGGTTTTCCTAATATCGTACAGCCCTATTGCAGAGCAAACCGAGTTAGTGGTAGAGCCACGATTCTGTTAGTTATCAGTGGTGAGATGTCCAAATATCAGGAAGTAAGACTCCAAATCCTGTCATCTCCTCTGGCTTACTTCTCTGTCCTCAAACAGGCCCACCAGAGCATTTTGTCCCCCAGAGAATGACTTACAAGTCATTCGTTCCTACTAAAGACCACCATGAATGTAATAAAAACTAAAACTAACTAACTAACTTCAGTGGGATTTATAAGCCTGCCACTTGCCTGAGCTTTCCCTTAAAGCAAAACATACAAATGCCCAAATGTGGCATTATGTTCGTCAGCAAAAGCTTTCATGGACCACTGGGTGGATTGTTAATGAAACTTTCAGGACGTCAGCATTCAATGAGTCAGACAAATTTAAGGATACCGTTACAACAACTGACCTCAGAAAACACAGACATGGATGTAACTCAGTCAGTTTAATAGATGATGGGTCTTGTGGTTGTAGCCGAGAGTCATTCTCATTACTGGATCTAAATGCTAACAGGTCACGCATTTTTTAAAGATTTGACCAAGGCTGATCTTTGTTTAAAAATCCTTACAGAAACACCATTTCTTTATTTAATATTTTCTTTATCCAACTGATAACGGTGGTCATGCAGCATGTGCTCTGTGCTCTGTGCACGCCAGTTTAATAATATAGTCAAAAATGGGCGGGGATTGTATTTTTCATCGGTACTGAATCGATGTGGAGACATCGGCAGCAGCGGCCTCTGTATATCAGCCGTGTTGGCTGGGAAACGGAGTCGCTCGGCCCTGAAATCATCGCTCCACTGTTGGAGCACATTAGGGAGCAAAACAATAAGCTCTCTTTTATGAAACCAGAAGATCATTTTCTTCCATGTTTGCTTGTGCAAAAAAAAGTCATGTGTCATGATGTGATGTGTGAAAGAACACCACCTGATTTTAAAAGTTTAAAGGAAGTGATCCACATTTCACAGAGAGTTTATGGCTGATTTAAACTTCCTGTTGGTCTTTGTCCATTGGCATAAATGCACAGAAAAACCCCATTTCTCATATTTTTTCTTTGTTTTCCTTTTTTTGCTGCTGGTTAGATGAGAAACTAAATGGATTCTTGGATGTTAATTGTTATAAAAATGCAATAAGAGTCATTTTGTGTTTGTGTGACGCCTCCAGGCAGTGCTACACTTTCAAACAGCCATAACTCTAATGGCCCTTAATAGGTTTGGGTGGGACATTTGTCATAGTGTCTGAACCAACATATTGTCTTCTCCATTAAGCTCTTCCTGACCGCTGTTGCCTGTCATTGGATATAATTTGGAATATTGATGGCCTGAGAGTGAAAGTTGATAATTAGCATGTGGAGTGTGACTAACTCAGTTTAGATCAGACATGAAGTTTAAAAGCCCACAAATTAAAAAAATGTAACGACATCTGTCTTTTCTACAAGAAATCTTAGAGCCCACATTTATGGATAACAGCCGTGTTTCCACTATAGGAGTTCTGGGAAATTTCTGGAAGAGAGAAAAGTGACCAGGAGATACAGTGGCTCCGTCCTCTCGGCCGTTTCCGCTATCAGAACTTCAGGGTAATTTTACCGGAACATCCCAGCATGTGTGTCCACTTCACCGGGTGCACCGAACGGACCGTTTTCGCTGGGCAGAAGTTTGGGTCAACTCACATTTTGGTTTTAACACAGTAGGAAATGACATCAGCAGTTGTTGTTTAAAACAAGCACCGTAAAACTATGCTTCTTCTGGTCCTTGAACAGTTTCACATCACACAGCAGCTTCCCCAAGCCTCCAAATGGAGTAAATTCTGTCGTACTTTGACAGAAAAAAACTTTTAAGGGTCAACTTTACTCATATTTTCAATACATCTGCAGCGGTCTTGAGTAGGAATGAATGCCTTGTAAGTTGTACCCTGGAAAAGGGAAAAATCTGTTTGAGGACATAGAAATCGGCTAGAGGAGAAAATGGCAAATGATGGCACGATTTGGAGCCCTATTTCCTGATACTTGGAAATCTCACCTCTGATTGGCTAACTCAATGCGACTACCACTGACTCCGTTTGCTCTGCAACTTTGATGTTTTATCTCCCCAAATAACACACGCCTTAAGGGGTTCTGCTGTGTTGTTGGGTTGCTAATGCTAATGGTTAGCTTCTACTAGTTGAGGGTTCTCTGCTGCTTCCTGGATGCTAAACCAACAACAGCCTTCCCCGTTGCAAGCCAAAATGGTCTTGTCCATGAATATTAAGTGACAGTGTGACTTAGATCTGTCGGGCTTTTTTGAACCGAGTGTTTTTCCATCTGTGTTCTATCAGAAGCTAATGCAAGAAATAGGGGTAGGAGACTATTTTCACTTTCAGACTGCTTTGGTGCAGATCAGTGACATCGCTCACTGCCGAAGCAAGTTTGCTGACCGCTGTGCAACATCCTGAAGGGGCTGAATTGGTATGGAGACACAACAGCTGAGAAGACTGAGCCATTGTATGCTAGAATGCTAGAACATCAGCATGCTTTAGCAGTGAGTGATGTCACTGATCAGCGCCAAAAGTCGTTGACTGACATATTTTTATTCCGTCAAAGTTCGCCATAATTAAATCTATTTGAAGAATGCGGAGAGCAGTTTTGTGATGTAAAACGTGGCGTTCAGAGACCAGAAGACGCACCGTTTTTTGCAGTGCTCTGTAGGAGACCACAAAGGAGCAAATAAGCATCAATGCTGCCGTTTTCCCCCTCCCCTTCCAAATCAGCAACTATTCCAATTTCACAAATGCCAGTTTTTTAAATGCTGATTGTTTGACGTCTACAGAGTTACAACCAATCAGCACGAGTTAACCACAAGTCCTGCCCAGTGACTCTACCGGACCTTTTCTGAGTGCCCCAATCCACATACTCTGTAGGTTCCTGAAATGGTCCTTTTGAGCTAGCACATGCCGCGAGGTTCTTACAGTGGAAAAAGGCCAAATGCCTTCATTCTTTACACTCAAGGTGATAAACCTTACAGATCCTGTGACTTGTGTGTAAATCTATCCTTGTCGGCATGTCCCTGTGCGATTGGTGTTAACTTCACAGTGTGGAGTCTGTCAAGGAGCGACAGTGACTCAGTGAGAGTGTGAATCACATGTGGATTTAGCCAGCTACACTCTCATTAAACACTGATCTAATTATCTACGCTTTCCTTTTCCTGGAAATATATTATGTGCCGCCAATCCACCAACAATATCAGTAAAATGCACCATGTTGGGTTTTTCTTCCTGGTTGCGTACGTCTTCAGAGAAGAGACTTCCTGCTTGTTTCTGTGAATGTCCAGAGCACACACCTTTATGGATTAACTCATTACCAAGTGAGCAAGGGCTTACATCACCGCTAATAGACTAATAAACTGAGGGCCGCTGCAGCTACAAGTGACAGGTTTGATCATCCTTATCGATTTCCTGAAGCTCATTACATTTTTTTTTACCTTAACACAAGGAGATCAACATGCTTTTATGAGTGTGTGTGGTGCAGTGGGAATAGAAGAAGAAGAAAATATAATTTCTATAGTGCCTCTCAAGATAAAAATCACGAGGTGCTTAGGACTTCTAGTGTGTTGAGCATGTGTGCACATTTCTAACTAGAAGAAAGGAAATTGGACAGATATCACTTCAGAATTTGTCAGAGCTGGCAGGAAATTGCTGCCTGAGCTCCTCTCCTTGGTTGGCAGATAATTGAGTCGCCCTTGAACGACATAAGCTGTCATTGCATTTGTTATACCTGAAGCGTTGTTCATCTCTCTTGTTTGTGTCTTCATTTCAGGTGACGTGTTTACAGGACTTCTTCGGAGACGAGGACATTTTTGTGGCCTGCGGGCCAGAGAAGTTCCGCTACCATGACGACCTGATGCTGGATGAAAGCGGTGAGAGAAACGGGAATGTTCGGCTTTGTTAAACTCGCTTTACTCACTCTGCTTATTTCCCACCTGTACACTTTCTGCCTATCACCGGCTGTTTACCACTCACTAATCGCTCCTTGTACAGGCTTCTTTCTTCTTTATTTATTTTTTTGTCACACTTAAATGTTTCAGATTAATGAACACATCTTAACACCAGTCTAAGATAGCTGATGATGATTTTTCTCCAAACTCAACCCTTTAATTAGCAGTTCTACCACTTAGTGGAAAACATTTTAGTGCCTATATCTCAAATCTGGCTTCTAGAATGTGAAGCCTGGTTAAAACCAGACTTGCCTGGAGGGTCTTAACAGCACCATTTGAGCCCTCCTTCATGGGACAAGAGATGTGACAGTCATCAGCAGATAAATGGACACTCAGCTTATGGTTCTAAAATATCACACCCAGGGGCAGCAGGTAGAGGGGAAATAACAGGGGGCCAAGTATTAAACCTTGTGGCACCCCTCAGAAAAGATCAGAAGAAGCCACCTAGAAGACATGTGGTGAATATATCAGGAAAAAAATGAAATAACTACTAAACTGAAAGATTCCAAATGATAGTGGGATGTTTGAATAATAAAGAAATTGTTGCATGATTATATATTTATAGGCCTGTCTAAGGTCAGACATTCTCCTTTAGGACTGTCTGGTAGAGAGCAGAATTCATATTTCCATCAGTTAGAACAAGGTCTGCAGGTCATATTTAGTTTTTAACTAAAGATTTTAATCCTTTTTAATAAATAAAATCTCATTTTGAATTTCAAAACGCCAAAATTTGCAGTTAAAGGATTTAAATTTGTTTGATATGCAACATGTTTTATATGCTGTAAGTGATGGAGTGCAAGTAGGACCTTCCTGAAAAAAACAAACATCTGGGGCCTCATTTATCAAGCTTGCTTACGCACAAAACGGGGCTGGAAAACTGCGTAAGCAACTTTCCACGCAAACCAAACTTTGGGATTTATGAAAGAAAACTTGTAACAGTTTCTCATCTGGGTTGGTTTAGTTAATATTATGGGGTGCCAGTCAGGTCTCCTTCCTGACTTATAGGATGATGGTGAGTGTTTAAGAAAATAGCTTTGAACCCAGTTTTCCTCTGTCACACATGGACATATACTTAAAATGATTTTGTACACACCCTCAATTTCTATAAAAAGTGTAGGCAACCAGCAGAATAAAGAATACAGCACAGTCCATGAAGACAAATCAGCAGTCTTGTCCTTGATTTTGGTGTAGCTCCATTTTAATTTTCCTTTTTATCGTCTTATGTCTTTGCCAGGGGCGGATTTAGGACTGAAGAAGATCCGGGGCTTAACACACACACGCGCGCGCACACACACACACACACACACACACACACATGTGACATGCACTAGTCAACATCATATATATTTGTCTTGTACCACATAATTTTTTATCTGAAGCTACATTTTAAGCATATTCAGGGCAGAGTATTGTTCCTGTTAGTGTTTAGTGTGAGATGATAGTAAATATTCCCTTTCTTTCTCCAACCACTTTACCTGATAAGCTAACTTTAGGCAAACCAGCAGCACAACAAATATTTTCAAATAAGACTCACAAACCTGAGTCAACACCAGTCTCATCAAAGCTGGGGTTCTGTCGTTGTACTTTTTGTCTAAAAAACGTCCTTATGTCCATCTTCACACATGCGTTTTAGGCAGAGACTGCAGAAGAAGCCGGCTGCTGAAGGGCTTCTTCTTCAGTGGTGGAGGTTCAGGCAGGCTGTATACAAACTACTGCCAGCTGCTCCCTCTCTGTTGGACTTTGGTACTGCATGTTACTTCCGCGTTTTAGATCCGGGGCTTTTCATAAAACATTCGGGGCTTGAGCCCAAGTAGCCGGGCCTAACGCCGCCCCTGGTCTTTGCCATGGAATAAGGAGCTATGACACAAAACAAATATATTTACATTAAACACACAATACATTCAAACATAAAAAGAAACCTGTAAAAGAAATAATCTGTACCAGAACTCACTCACTTGACAGGGGTGTGAATGATTCTTCTAGCAGTACACAGGACACAATTCAGAAACTAAAGAAAACACAGATTTGTTTTGCCCTTAGTTTTAGGTCTCAAGGACTTAACACAGGCACGCCAAGTATTTTGGTTGGTGTTTGGTAGGCTCAGAGGACTTACATTCTCCTCTGGAATGATGGGCGAATCCACGCCGTCACAGGAAGACGCTCCACATGCTGACTCTTTCTCCAGCACTTTACATCCAGCACAATACATCCAAGGGAATCAAAGGAAACGATTGGAGAAAAAACCAGGGGAGACAGTGTGGCTTTCCTTTTGAAAAGTGAACTTGGGTGTGGCGCACAGGTGCTGAGCATTTGCCATCAAGGCAGAGAGGAGGCAGGAAATGAGCAACGCGGTGCAACCTGAGGTTGTCACAAACTTAGCGGGAAAATGTGCGCAACTTTAAGTTGACTAAGGACCTTGCTTACGTACATGTTGGACATGGAGAGCACCTGCAGTGCTGCTGCTGAGAAGGATACAATTACGAAATCCTGCAGCATTATCACTTGCACTGCTTCATTTTCACACAGAACAAGACCCCCCACACGCACACACACATGCACGCGCACACTCACACGCGCGCGCACACACACACACACACACACACACACACACACACACACACACACACACACACACACACACACACACACACACACACACACACACACACAGCCTGAAGCACAGAATACGGAATGCAGAATATCAGCAGGGGGACAGATTAAGACAGAATGTCATGCGCCCTCGCTACTTGGACAAGGGAGATCTCTGTTTGGCTGACTGGTTAGTGCTTGTGACTTTCACCTGGGAGTCTGGGGATCGAATCCTGATCGGACCATCTTTTTTATATCCGCCACAGATCTCTCTGAAGAATTCACAACATTGACGGCTTCAGCAACACTGTGCCACTCCGTGGATTTTCTCTTATTTGTTTTGCAAAAGCACTTCCTTTCATTTCTCCACCTCACCCACAAGTCAACTTCTGCTTGTGAAATAGTGCTTCCTTGATCTGCGGTCGTGATTGAAACTCTGCAACAGCCGGCTTATGTATATGCCTGAGATCCACAAGGCACATTGCATTGACTATTTATGGCAGAAAGTGGGCGTGGTGAAGGCAGGATGTGACTAAAAAGCAGCTGAGAACCTTTCTATATAGTTTCTGATTTATGAAGCGGAGATTGTGTGCAGCTGTGCGTACTCCATGTTTGATAGATCACAAACCTACTTGGCGTAAGTACGGTTTTAGTAAAGATTCTACGCAATACTTGATAAATGAGACCCCTGGATTGCAGCACATGGTGTTCCAAAATTAGTTATTTTTTATTTTCTTTTGCATTTACATTGTACCTGTCTCTGTTATGTGCACTTATCAAAGATCATATATGATAGTATATTCAGCCACCATGACATAGTTTGTCAGTTTGTGGACTAGTGTGTTCAAAGCTCAGGTTTTGCATCTGACATTGACCGTCTTGAAGTTTTCTGAGGCTTAGGTTAATAAAACTTTGGGCATTCTCCTTAACCCTCCCACTGTCTTTATGGGTGACCCCACGAGAAAAGTTGACCATTGAGCAGGATTCATGGTTTATCCCTTGTGGCAGGGGTGAGGCGGTGAAGAACACATGTTTACTTCGGGCCCCGATCATCTATTTAGATGAGATAATGGGTTATAAATACAAAAACTGATTAGAAACATGTGACTGAACAGAATTCTCAATGGAAAAGTTTCTGCTTCAAGACAATAAAGACAAACAATTTGAACAATTTCCACAAGACGTGACTTCTGCTGTTATCGGTAATTCATCCAGCTTCCCAGTCTCTTTATAATAACGCTATTATTTCCCTAAAGGATAAACCTTCCTGGTTTGGTTTGCAGAAGGCTGGCTTTCTGATTATCTGTTGTTTCTTCTGTTCGGCCTCTCTCCCCGCCACGGCCCTCCCAGAGTACATTTTGTCCCATCTGTCATTTGCTCTCTCTCTGTCTCCCCTTTCTGCCGTTTAGTCCTCATCTGTGTTCTCGACACTCCTGTGCTTTAGTCTTTCTCCCACATGAGTGAGTATTCTCTGGCTTTTGCCCCGAACTGTATTCAGCTGATTTGATTCCCCGCTATCCCCTTATCTGCTGGATAATAGTCATTCTACCTGGGTCATCAACCTCCACCCCCTTATTCCTGTTTGTCTCTGTTCTTCCTTTCCCCTCCATTCCTTCTCAAAATGTTCTCCTTTTACTTTTTAAAACATAATACAAACCTGCTTCCATTAGCCAGTCTTTTATTTGTGACCTTTTCTTTTCTGAGAAAGATCACAAAACACCCTCCTACCTGCAGAATGGCTTAGAGGACCATGTTCCCATCTGTATTGTCATTAATGACTTATGATTTTCTCCAGAAATGATGTTCCACCTCCCATCCAAAATCAGTTCTTGTTCTATATTTTAATGAAATTTCATTAAGTTTCAGTTTCGTCTCAACAACAAGTGTGCTTGTAAAACTGTCTGCTGTTAATCTCACCTGATAATGTCAGAGTTTAAGTAAGTAAAGCTTATTTTTTAGCACCTATCGCAGCAAAAGTCACAGAGCTTCACAATAAAATCTATATTAAAACATAATTAATTATGTTTCCTCATGAAAAATACCCCCAACCCCATTTTCAGCTGCATTCATGCATTTTCTTGTCTCTATTTGACTCAATGATTTCTGATCTATGTGGGAGGTGCACGGAAACCGAACCGCATCTGTCCTGCTTTTGATGTGAAAGAAACTTTAGGATTCGTTCTTTCATTATAAGCCTGCCAAATCCATCTTCTGCCCTCTGGCGGGGGTCTAATGGTGGAGAGCGCCAATTTTATTTCTTTATAACTTTTTTTATATAATTGCCTGATACAATCAATTATTATTATTATTTACAACACAGACACATGTGTTCAAGTAACATATTGTAGTCAGCCACAAAAAAATTGCTCCACAATATTCATTTTAACATTTGTAAATAAATACATAGGCATGGTGTTGTCTACAAGGAGCTTCCAGGTCATTTTAAAGGGAGACTAGGTAGTTTCTGCTTGCTTTTAGCACCCTCTAGTGTCTGTTTAGAAGAACCAAAAGCAAAACTTATCTCCTGAAAGCTGAAATGTCTCCTTAGCCTCCCTTAGTGTTTACAGGAGAGGTTCAGAACTAAATCAAACAGATCAGCTGTGTTCATGATCTAAAACATGCTGGAAGCAGACTGCAACACTATTGGGCCATTCCCATCTGTACCGGGTCGGCCCGGGCCGGGTAGCGTAGGTTGTTTACATATCTGGGTGGCCTGGTATTTTTCCGGGCCAACCAAGGCTCATTCTCAGCCCTCTTCTCGAGGGGGTCTGCTTCAGGCCGACCAGGGCCAACACACCCACTGCTGACAGCAAATTCACACCTTCCATTAGAGCAAGCCTCTGATTGGTGGGTAGAATCAGCCCACATGGGCTTAAGGCAAGGATGCGTGGAATCAACCGGGCCAGGCTGGGCCGACTGGGGCTACCCGGCCCAGGCCGACCCGGTACAGATGGGAATGGCCCATAGGAGTGTCAGCTCCAAGTCCAACAGACCGTGCCAGTACTCTGAAGTTGCAAATGCCATATTCTGGCCCCAAAGGGAGACGGGGGTCTCAGTGACATTTAATTAACCCTATAGAGGATCATTTTAGCAAATACTCGCTCAAAAAATGATTTTAAACCATGAGAAAGTTGCAAAGTATCCCTTCAAAGAAAAGCAGTTGTATACACAAACATATAAATACCTTTTTAAAAGTAGAAGTACACAAGAGTTCTCTAATACTTTCCATCATGCTGAAAATGATAAATGATAATGATAAATGACACACACTTGTATAGCGCCTCTCAGAGTAAGGACTCCAAAGCGCTTTACACTACAGTGTTTCATTCATCCATTCACACACACATTCACACACTGATGGTGATGAGCTACAATGTAGCCACAGCTGCCCTGGGGCACACTGACAGAAAAATAGTTTAAAGGTCTGCATTTAACATCCAAAACATACACATGCATAAAAAAATTATTCTAGCACAACCGCATTTTTTTTTCTGTGCCAGCAGACAGGGAGTGTGTGCTAACACCTCTTCATCCTCTGGCAGACACGGAGCAAGAGGCAGGAACAGACTGATGGGAACACCGAGTGACAAACCAAACAAACAGACAGTCGGAGTCAGAGCTGCAAACAAGTTCGACTCCTTTCAGCATCGCCATAATTATCGCCTCTGTCTCAACTCTGGCACTCTGTCATCATGCTAAAACTCTGCATTGTACACTAATCGACGGCCACTGCAAATGCCACACAAGCAGCCCCCCCCCCCCCCCCCACACGCATGGGTTGATGATGAGTACGGAGTGTGTACTTCTCCCACTAATCTAAAATGTTAATGAGTTAAAATGGGGCTGCGTTAATGAACAGGAAAGGAGGAGTGTGTTTGGGTATGGAGGGTGTGTGAGAGCTATCTCATGGCTCATTTGTCTGGATTATGTGTCTGCAGAGTGTTAGCCCTCCGTGAGTCGCGGCTGGAATTCTGAGATAATTTTCTTTAGGAAGCGAATCCATGGAAGGTCAGGGACCTTAGGCTAAAGCTAATTAGAGCTGTGCTCATGAATCACTTTTTAAGAGAGCAAATGCTGATGCATGGACGCACCCTTGTTACTGTTTGCTGATTGCTTTTTAATTCATCCCAGTTTTTGATTCCAAACTCCTGAAGTTTTAGGGAAACCTTGTGCCAAAGATAGGTCAAAACACCTGATTCAGTCAGGAGTAGTGTGACTTCTGGTAGCAGATCATGGCATAAGTCATGTCCTTCACTGATGTTCAGTTTTAGCCACGTTAGAATTTGTTTATAGATTTTTTTAGAATAAATTAACACATTTTGTGTTTCCCTGAACAGTTGTGTCTGCTCTTCCTCAATCCAGAGTGCCGTATGATGAAGGCAGTGACCTATGGCAAGATATCAGGCTCTGCCAACCGATTCCCTCTCAAGACTGTCATCCAATCACGTCGCAGCAAGTCGCCCGCATCTGGTAAAGCTGCTACTTTTGTCAGTTTTCTGTTATTTCAGTTTAGCCTCATTCTATTGCAACTTTTGGTTGTGCTGTTTGTAGCACTGTTGTCTGACAGCAAGAAGGTTGCAGGTTCAAATCCAGGCTGCAGCCTTTCTCCACGGAGTTGGTCCTCCCACAGACCAACAACCATCTATTCATTTTCTATACCCGCTAGTCCACGCAGGGTCATGTGAGGCTGTTGCCCGTTTCCAGCAGTTTCTGGGCAAGCAGGCGGGGTACACCCTCTACAGGTTGCCAGTCCATCGCAGGACAACACAGAGACACACAGGACAAACAACCAAGCACACACACTCACACCTAAGCTAAATCACAGCATGCCCTATAGGTTGTAAATTGTAAGTCGCTTTGGATAAAAGCGTCTGCCAAATAAATAAACATAAACCTCGCCTCTGTCAGTGCGCCCCAGGGCAGCTGTGGCTACATCGTAGCTCATCACCACCAGTGTGTGTGTGAATGGATGAATGATACACTGTACTGTAAAGTGCTTTGGAGTCCTTACTCTGAGAGGCGCAATACAAGTGCGGGTCATTTATCATTTATTATAAGGATTATTTAGATAGACCAATCAACCTGACTGTCATGTTTTTGGACACCAGGCTGGGACTCAAACCTAGGACCTTCTTGCTAACAACTGCTCCACTGTGCAGCCCGACCAAAAACCATTTCAGGTTAATTGAAGACTCTGTAAAGTGTCCCGAGGTGTGTGTAAATGGTTGTTTGTCCCTGTGATCAACTGGTGACATGTCCAGGGTGTCCTGCACCTCTTGTCCGACCAATGCCGGAGTTAGCCACCATCTTCCCGCAATCCTAATGAGGAATGAGCGGTTAAAGACGATGAATGCAGCATCTGCAGCCCTCATCTGATTGTTTAGCTTTTTCTAGCTAGTTTCATCTTTCTGCCTTGCAGTATAAGAAATACCAGTAAATACCACATATAAATCTGTGTTTCTGCAAAGTGTCTGGCACTGTGAACGACCGTGTAGATCAGTGAGCCGTGTCTCATTGCAGAATTCAAATGCGAATGGTTTCACAAGGGAGTGGAAAGAAATGCTAACACGGTTGAGAGAGGTAACAAATAAAGGAGGGAGGGGCTGGTGACTCAATCCTGCAGCTCCCCACCAGCTGCTCTTCACCTGACATACTAATGAAATGACATGAAGCGGTAAGAGCCCGCACTTGTACCCGCTCCATTGTTTATGCCTGATGATACACCAGGAACACCTTTTAGAGGAGATATCAAACAAACATGTTCACAAAGAAAATTAATTCCAAGAACTGAGAGCAGCTCTCACTAATGCACCGATGCTGGGGGTACCAAACATCCAGGCCGGCTTCATGCCCATGAGGACTTGGTAATTAGTTTCAGGCTTTAGCAAATATCACTTCATTCTTCTCCTGATTGCACAGCTTGAACTGTGGCTGTTATCAGAGAGTTGAGCAACTGCACGCTGAAGTTTTCATTCTCGCAGCAATTGTTTAGTTACTTAGTGCAGAGACTTACTGGGTCAGGGATGATTCAGCGGGTGATGCAACAGCCAGAAATAAGTTGGTCCTCCTGCTGTTTGAGCACCTGAACGTGGACAGATGCACCTTTTTAAAAAGGAGGATAATTGCAGTTTGAGGGGTTTGAGATCTGGAAGCCAGAGTGAGGAGGAGTGTTTGGAACTAAGAGGAAAAGGTTATGAAGTTGACTCATAAACTAACTGATCTCCCTAGCAGCAGACTGTCTGGAATACAGCTGTACACAGATGTGTGTGTGTGTGTGTGTGTGTGTGTGTGTGTGTGTGTGTGTGTGTGTGTGTGTGTGTGTGTGTGTTGGATGGGAGGGTGGGGTCATATTGGCTGTTATGGAGACAATGCACTGTCAGAACATGTAATTAGGAACACAAAACGCTTGTGACACCCATATATGGCAGTGACTTCCTGTGACAAAGGCCCGCTGTTGGAGACAGCTGACTGACGCTCGCTCCCCGCTGGAACCCTGAGTCAGACCATGCTGCCGTCTCACTCGTGTCAAACTCTTCCCTTCTGGCGCTGCCTCTGCTCCTTCAACTCATCCAGTCCTGCTGGAACGCTTTTATATTTACACTTTTTATATTTACTCTGTTTGCAAAGGAAGAGGGAGGAGTGACGGCAGGGGAGCAAATGATGGATGTGATGATTATTATGCAATTTTGCCCCCTCATTTTCAACACACACACACACACACACACACACACACACACACACACACACACACACACACACACACACACACACACACACACACAGAGTATAATGTTGCCCGTTCTGTTTTAAGGATTGTAATTTCATTACATTTAATTGGGTTGAAACTCATAAACGTCAACAAGTTGTACTGAGGTGAAAGCTGACGGGGCTGTAAACGTGATATTATTTAGTATTTTTGAAGTAGTTTAAAAAGTAGAAATTTCCTTTTGATTTGTTGAGGAAGTTTATCAGGGATTCTGGGTTTGTACCTTCATGTTAGCAACGTGCGTTTCCAGTTGTCCAATTAGGAGAGATAAATTATGACTTGACAAACTTTAAAAGTCAAAACTCACATTTTGAATTTGTTTGTGCTGCCATACAGGTTTCTATGGATTCTACAAACACTACAAACATAAAAAACACCCATCAATTAGTTTTCTGTTATTATCTGGTTTTATAAATGATGTGTCTCAAACAAGCCATTTAAAAAAGTTCCTGTTTGTGATGTCACAATGGGGAAATTAGCATAGAAGTCCCCTCTCATCCTAAGGAGAGAGCTCCAGGCTGGAGGAGCAGTAGCTCTACTCCGATCTCCTGTCAGATATGGGAGCTTCTCAGCTAATAGCAGCCTGAGCGGAGGATGGGTGGGCGTGGCCAGTTCCAGGTAGTTTTTTTTAAGTTGAAAATGAACTAAATGATGCCCAGTTGCTGAAAAATGTTGGTGTCTTTGTAACATATAACCATAAAAATCAGGTCTAGAGTGGGTGTGAGTCTCTGAGGCTGTATTAGACGTCATGTTTCATTTTACGTGAGCCCGTGAAGACAAAAAAAAACAAACAAAAAAACCCCACATTTACTGATGTGTAAAATGCAGATACAAAACTTTCACCAGAAAAAACCAGAAAAAACTATTTCTGATGTTTGTTTCAAATATAAAATGTGAAGTTCTGTTTTGCAGCTTTACATGTAAAAAAATAAAGTCAGATGCAGCTTTAAGACCAGTAGCTTTATATTTTCAGTCTAATCTAAAAAACAATCCAAAAATTTCTTGATGATCTGTCAGAGCAAAACAATGAATGCAAACCTTTCAGTGTATTAAAACAAAATACATGGAAGCAGCAGTCTGGAAATGATCTTATAATTAAATTGAACCAAGAGCAGATGTTAGGTGTGAGTTATCTCTGAGACAAAAAGCATCTAGCACAGCGTCAAACACCACCTGGTGTCCCTCTGAGCGTCCCGTTGTCTGCAGCTGAGACCTGGACCGAGCAGAGGTGGATGTGAGGACAAACAGAGAGATAGTCACACACTCGTAGTAGCACAGTGACATGTGTTAGGTTGTTAAGAGAAATTAAGAGAGATTTTTCAACATTTGGTTGATAGAGAGAGTCAAAACACAGTCCTGCCTTCTGTTGTTTACTTGGATTTAAGTCATGAGGATTTATGGCACCAATCAATAATAAGCAGAAAACTGTCAAATTAATCCCAATACCTAATGGTGTCAATGCAGGAATTGATCAAATAAAATTCAAAATATGTAAACAAAATAGGTGAGTGAATTAAAAATAACAAGATTAAAGGCCTAGCATGCTTTGACGGAATGTGTCTTAAGGCCAGAGTTTTAAACTAAGATCATCGAATGGTGATTAATTATAAGTTACATTCATTTAGGGGATAAAACAAATTGTATTTTGTGCAGTTTCACACCAGACTTCAGTTGTGTTGGGTAAGTGTTGTCAATGACTCTCAACTACTGACATTTCAAATTTTTAGGTTTAATTTTTTTTCAGGGTTAAAATAGGTTTGGCGTGGGAGTGTGTGAAGGGGGTCAGATGAATGAGAGTTGGCAGCCCTGATGTAGATATCCCCCTCCCATACCATGGTGTGTTTTACTTGGCAGTGATGCTTCAGTGTGGGCAGGTCGCTGCGTATCAGCTCCAAACTGTCACCACTCAAACTCGGTTCTTAGATGATGTCACAGCCCCAGCTGAGTGCACACGCACACCCAAAATAACGGGCAAAAACAAGTTGCACTCGAACATGGTTTCTTTCCCCTTCTCGCCATCTGTCTCTCTGTTGATGCCTCATGTCTGCTAAAACCAGCGGAGGAGTGGCAACGGTGTCAACAAGAGTCACCCCGACACCTCAGCGTTTCACCTTTTTCTCTTGATGTAACAAGTCACTCTGCATGATTACAGAGACTTTGCTGCTGAAGCAAATAGAGGAGCTGACCCAAAAATAAAACCTGTGTGTCTCCGGAGAAATCACTCCTGGTTGAAGTGTTAATGTGTGATTTCTGCAGACTTCACTGCTTTTCTAGCAAGATAAAACCCATTTGGGGAGGATGTGTTTAACAAACAATAAAAATAAAGAAAAAACAAAACTGGGTTTGAATGAAAAAAACTACAGAAACTGCAAGAAAATCAATATTTTCTTTAAAATGCGTTGATTTTATCACTAATTCTTAAATTATAGCCTGCTAACGAATCAATCTGAGGAGTCATGCCGAAGTTGCATGCTTTCTGCTCCACCGGTAAAAACATTCACTGCTTGGTTTATGCTTGACGCATTCACTTTCCGCGCGGTGATGCGGCTCGCGGATGCAACGCTCTTCACAACTCGCAGCGTTTATGGTTCGTGCGGCTCCTCTCTGCGGTGAGCCAATATTCTCCCAAACTGAACGGGGCAGCATGGAGCTCTACAGCATGCATCCAACACCACACCATAGTAGAAGTAGAAATTACTGTTTACAACATGGCATTTCAGCATTTTTAACAGCGTTCTTGTCTTTTCCGACAGTGCGAGCTACTTCTCTTCAAGAATTTTTAACAACATGTTGATCACGGTGATCTCTGAGAGCTGAATCATACAAATGTCTGTATTTACGAACCTCTGCCGTACTAGTTCTTGCCGGGCCGCCATGTTTTTCCGCGTCCAACCGTCCGCGTGGTTAGAAATTTTCCGAGGTGCGCGTTGCGGAAATTCTGGGCCGTGCGGAGGCGCGGTGGAGGGGTGTGGTTGTTAAAATGACGCAAAATGACGCAAATTTTCCGCGCGGAGCCGTGCGGACCTCGCGGACGCGTCAAGCATAAACCAACCTAATAATGTTTTATAAACTAGCGACAGCCATGGCAATAGGGCGTAAAACTACCTAGAAAGGTATGTACTGCCCCCTTGTGTCAGGAAACTTCACCCTGCCACATCAGAGAGAATGGTGGCTCGTTAATAGTTTTGAAAACGATCGACCACTCTGATTTTAACATGCAGGCTGAATGTGATAATCGTCTCCTACACCTATCTCCTGCATTAGCTTTGGATAGAAAAGAGAAAGTTTGATCTACGTCACACTGTCACTTAACATTCATGGACTCAACCATCTTTCTTCATGACGGGGAAGGCTGTTGCTGGTTTAGCGTCCAAAAAGCTGCAGAGAACATCTCGACTAGTAGAAGCTAACCATTAGCTTTAACAACACCGGAATGTTTTTCCCCAGAGTGCGACTTATAAGACATTCCTTCCCACTAAAGACCACTGCAAATGTATTAAAATACAAGTGGAGGACCTCATTAAGCTTAATTTATGTTTTTCTTTGTGAACAACTACCTAAGAGACTTGTGTAAACCATTAAGACTGTAATCTGTCTTGTAGTAGTAAAACGTGCGGTTAGCGTGCACCATGGGAGAATGTTTAGGTTGACTTGATTAACAGTGCCAAAAACAAACAGACTTGCCTGACATTTGTTTAGTTTCTCCTGTCATTTCATTAAACCAAATGGATCTAGAGTTGCAGGATTAGTCCATTACCCTCCAATCTTCCTTTTGTAATGCTCATTATACGTTGGTTTAATTATACGCTATGCAGCCTGAAGTTTCCTGCGCAATCAGTTGTTGAAAAATGTAATTTGTGCAAGGACATTCCTGTCACCCTGCGCTGTACTTCATGTTCCACACTCTAGCTGTGAAGTGTACAGACTCAGACAGCTGGCTGCACAGCCTCCTTTAACTTGGCTATTGAAAAAGCTTCAGCTGACTCATAATTGTCACTTCAGCTACGTGTAAGAGGTTTGACTACACCAAAAATGGTCGAAAGGTCTTCAAGCTGCTGAAATCCCAGTTTTAGCTGCATATGTTTTCTATATATTACTCACTCGCTGTCTTTTTGAAATCTCAACCAGCATGTAATCATTCTAATCATTACAGACTCAAAGCTGTTTAAATTCCATAAAAATATGATCAGACGCGGTAACGGTAACATTTAAAGCAATGCAGTTACAGTGACTATAGATGCAACGGCTTTTCAATTTGTTTCAGTATTTAACTATCTTGCAAAACAAATGCATAATTTGGGTTATTTATCTCAGTAACAACACGAAAATATTTGTTTAGGCATATCTTTTCAATTACAGATGGTCATTCATATGCTTTTTTCCTAACAGCTTGCATTGGGCAAAAGTATCACCCTTATGAATGCTTAGGCTCCGCCCTCAGTGGGGGGGGGGGGGGGTCACAGGGGGGTCCAAACTTTCTGTCAGGGTGGCACTGGCCCACCCAGGACCCCCTGTAGAACCACCCCTGCCTCAAATACATTTTGATATAAACCAGTGATGTAATGTAACTAAGTACAGGTACCTTGTTTCTGTACTAATACACATTTTTAAATATCTGTGCTTTACTTCAATCATTTTCTTGAGGCCTACGGTTTACTTTTACTTCACTACATCTTAAAGCAGTTCTCTGTACTTTCTACTCCACTACATTTTCTAAAATGCTTCAAATGTAAAAGTACTTCAATTTGCGCATTGTCCGAACCCCACATATTCTCTGGCAGCGCACTTCCTTATCCATGCCAGACTGCAGTTCCAAAAGTAATAGTACTTTAATTTGTTTTTTGCCCCTTTCCCCAGATAGAACACTATTACACACACAACTCATATTTAAATGTTAGTTGAATACTTTTACTTGTCATTTGAAAATGCATACTTTATTACTTGTAGTGAAGTCAAAATTTTCTTGGATACTTCCACTTTCACGATTTTTTTACTCATTCATCTGAACTTTTAGCTAAGTAAAAAAAATCAAGTACTTCTTCCACTACTGTCATAAACAAAACATTTATTGCGGACCTATATGGACCGCTTGTTGACTTTGACAACAGCTTTCTCTGTATTCATGTTGAGTGTGACCCGTGAATTTGGTCAGGTGACACATTATGTCAAAAAAAAACTTTAAACAAGTTTTAACACCAACTTCCCCGTTGGTTTCTAGAAAATGTCAAACCTTCAGCCTCTTTTAAGATTTCAGTCATGCTCAAACTAACACTGGTCTGGAATGTGTAAACTCTATTTCTCTAAACAGAGGCTGTTCAATTAGCCTGGGTCCTTAATCCGAATGGATGAAAAAATCCCATTTTAGATCGTTTTTAAATTCCCTCAACATGATTTCTCCTGATGTGCATCAAGAACCCCCACCCCCACCCCCACCCTCACCCCACCTCCCTTCTCTGTCTCGTCCCCTCTTTATTTTTCTCGTCCTCCCTTTCTCCCTCTGTCTCTCTCCCTCCATCTTCCTCTCCCTACCTCCCTCTCTCTCCTTCTCTCTCTTGCTCTCTCTCTCACCCTCTCCCTCCCTGCTCTCTTGCTCTCTCTCTTCCTCCCTTTCTCCTACTCTCTCTCTGCCTCTCTCTCCCTCTCTCTCTCTCTCTCTCTCTCTCTCTCTCTCTCTCTCTCTCTCTCTCTCTCTCTCTCTCTCTCTCTCTGTCAGTCTCTCCCCTCTCTCCCCATCCACACCCTTTCATAAAGCTCCTATAATTTACTCTCAGACCCAAGTCGTTCTCAGATCTATTTTTCTTGGCTGAGTGTTAAATAGGCCCGCAGCCAAAATATTAAAATTCTCTCAGCATCCTTCCTCTCTGCTGCCATGCCTCAGCGCGCGTCAGCGCTTGCGCAAGCAGCCTCTCCTGCCTCTCCGCCTCTCTGGTAGTACAGCTCTGCTCCATCTCTCATTCACCTCAGTTTACTACCACAGTCTGACAGAACGCGTTCAAAGCTGCTGCTCTCCTCTCTGTCTCCGCTTTGGATTAACACTGTGCTTTTCACAATGCTGGAAGTGGAAGGTAGGGATTCATATTTTATGTTTAATCTGGCGTTTATGGTGCGTTACCCCCAACCTTTGATAAAATAAACGCGCTATTTTCCATCCTGTGTGACCTTGACAGAAAGAAGTGGTTGTTGCCAGAAGGTGGTATGTTGGGATTTTGTATGAGGAAGTCAGGAACCATTTATACTTTTATTGTTGTGTAATTTGGAGGAGGGTCTCCTCTTTGTGCGTAACGCCGATGCTGAATTTCATCAATGAAAACGCCAAGGATCGGCTCTTTTGTCCATTATTTATTTATGAAAGGTGTAAAAAAAAAAAATTACATAAAGTTATCCATCACTGCTGTTTCTTCCCTACTTTCATTTTGATTAATCAGATAAATCATAAAGTTATTTGATCTCAGCAGGGATCAGGCTTTACCCAACAGCTGGAGATGTGTTTAGATGAACACTACGACTCAAAATCCTTCAAGTTGTAATCCAAACTAAAAGCCTGAAAACTGGCAGTGAATGTGCTTTTTTTCTGCATCAAGATGGATCGACTCTAAAAAAAAATGGTGTTTACATGCAGCAATCCTCAAGGCGTTGGACTAATGGAGATCAGAAATAGAAGGAGGGGAAGAATAATGTTTTTTTTTTCTCAAACATAAACTTGAAAACATCCAGTGAGAAGATGAAAGTAGGTCATAATTTGCATAAGTTAATGATGCCATTAGGCTTCTTTTCGCCCGACCAGGATTGGGGTGAAACATTAATGTGGTGTTCTTGTTTAATGAGATTGTGCCGTTGGGTTTATGTGTGCTGATGAGGTCACGAGTGCACTAAAGGACTGCTGCTTTTCATTTATTTATTTATTGCAACACGCAAGCTTCGGACATGTAAAAGATTACAAAAAGTGGATTTTAGTGTTTCTTTCTCCCACTTTTCCTCCTTCTCTTCCTCCCACTCAGCCACATTCATGTGAACGGATATGCGGAAGGGCGGACATGTGGGCTGCCGTCTGACTCTTATACAACTTTTCTGATAAAACACGAGTCCAGTTTTAAAGGACCCTTATGCCTTGGTCCTTATACCCTTCTCATCTCCTAATCCGCTCCATTTTTTCTTTTCTCATTTTTTCCCCCTCCAGTGAACGGGACGCCGGCCAGTCAGCTGTCCACTCCTCACTCTCCCAGCCCCTCCCCGACCGGCCCAGGCAGCCTCAGCCGACGCCGGGTAAGACTACACACAGTGACACACACACAGACACACACAAACACTCACTCACAATCAGACGGTAGACTTCAGCGACAGCTGTGACACATTCCTTCTATGTTCTCAGGAACAGGACAAAGCCGTGACTGAGCTTAGGCCGACCTCATCTTAGAGTCACTAAGAGTACGAAGAAACGTCCCAGCATCTTTAGCGTCTCAGAACAAAGTTGACCTTTGACCTCATCCAGCGCTGCTCTAGGACTCCAACAAAGGAAGACTTGTGTTAAAATCCGTGTTATTAGTTAGAAAATGGATCCATGCCATTTCTACATGTGGTGACCTTTTGTATTTTTGTTGGTTAACACTTGGAGATCTGCTGAAATGTGAGTTGGGAATCTGTAATACTTGATCTAGTGAGATTGGTTGATCTCACATGATTTGGACGAATAAATCAGCTGAGCGAGAGCATGCAACTCAAATGGAAAATCCCAAATCTGCACATTGCAGCGCAGTGATGGTGGTGACCTTTTAGCTAAGCTGCTTTTTTTTAATCTGTAGAAACTTAAGTCCCGCTGCAGATTTTGTTTCTTCTGCCTCTTTAATAATTTGAGTTCCCACCTCACACTCAGTCACACACAGCTCACATGAGCATCCACTAGGTGTTAAAAGAAATTACCGTTTTGTTGTTGTTTAATGAGCCATTTTTGGACAGTGCATTTTCTGGCCTGCTCTTTGGCAACAGGGTGGTCGTATTGATGGGGCATGAAGGTCAGCCAAGGCAGCAGCATCAGCTCAGATGTAGGCTGCAGCTTCCGAGAGCTGAAATGGGTACAGTGGAGCTTCCACATTTGCCTGGAACTGGGTCACCATAAATTACAGAGCTCAGAGGAAGCAGGGTAGCACGTGCGCACGTTTATAAACTAAAACGGGGAGCCCTACTAGATATAACCACAGCGCTCTGTTCCGTCCTCCTTCATCGTTCTAGTGGGACAGGGCAAAAAAAAAAAAATCCTTCCATCATTTCTGATCTGATCGATTAGACCAAAATGCAGGAAGTTTCAACCTGTGCATAATGGTAACGTAGAAATTAGATCCTGAGCTGGTTTTACACTGGCCGGGCTAAGTTTAGCCTGGGCCAGTCACAGCGCTCTTTTCTAGAGAGACACTGGGCGGGTTTAGCACCATCGCAGCATTTTTACCATGATGAGAGAAACTACAACAATGGCATTTGAAACGGCTTTGGCATCAGCTTTGGGCTTTTCTTTGAGACATGAGCAGAAAGAGGTATGCCTCCTTGACAGACATCCATAGTGAAGAATACGTGCCATTGTTTGTTGCTCTGATTGGAACGCTACCCAACTGCGTGCGGAAACAGTTTGAAAGGCAACCGTACCCTACGACCGTGCTCTACCGATGGGTCTATCTTACATTTAGCATTGATATTTAAATGACCTTCTTTTACCCGACTCATCTGACAATGTTATATCTCCAGAGGGGATGATGTTGGGCCAACCACATCTAATGAGTAAACTGGATGCTCTTTAAATTCAACCCCACCACTGTACACTTTTCCCCATCAGCCTTCTTAAACGAGCTTCGCTGCATGGTTAAAATCACGTCGAGGGTGCAGTTCTTAACGAGGGATTATTCCAGGCTTTGCACTCTCTGACCCTCTATATGACGCCTGCGTTAGCTCTGCTGGAAGGAGGAGCTGAAGGCTCCCAGCCCATTATCTCTCTCTCTCTCTCTCTCTCTCTCTCTCTCTCTCTCTCTCTCTCTCTCCTCTCCACTCTGCATCTTCACACTCTTCAGTAATATTGCGATGTAATTCTCTCCTCTGCTTCTTGCTCTTCTGCCCCGGTAGCAATTCCCTCTCCCACTGAGACAGCTTCTCTCCAGTTCTCACTCACTCACAAGCGCCCTCCCTCCTCCCTCTCTCCAATATGAAAATAATATTTAAAACTGTGAAATTATATTCCATCACTTCAACTCTATAAGCTCTTTTTCATGAGTAGACACATTTTGTGGATGTCCTCTCTCCTTTGCCATCTCTGTCCTAAATGTGCAAGAATAATTATAGAGTTAGAGTTTAAGTGGTGAGGGATCAGACAAAGAGCAGCCCGAAGACCTCTTATGATGAATTATTTAAATGGAAACCGTGTTCCCTCGCCCGGACGTGGGTCACCGGGGTCCTCCTCTGGAGCCAGGACTGGAGGTGGGGCACGATGGAGAGCGCCTGGTGGCCTGGCTTTCACCCATGGAGCCCGGCCGGGCAAAGCCCGAAGAGGAAACGTGGGTCCCCCTTCCCATGGGCTCACCACTTGTGGGAGGGGCCAAAGGGGTCAGGTGCAGTATGTGACGGGTGGTGGTCGAGGGCGGGGACCTTGAGGGTCTGATCCTCGGCTACAGAAGCTGGCTCTTGGCACATGGAATGTCACCTCTCTGGTGGGGAAGGAGCCTGAGTTGGTGTGTGAGGTTGAGAGGTTCCAACTAGATGTAGTCGTACTCACCTCAACGCATGGCTCTGGAACCAGTTTCCTTGAGAGGGGTTGGACTTTCTACGACTCTGGAGTTGCTCCCACTGAGAGGCACTGAGCAGGGGTGGGCATACTAGTTGCCCTCCATCATGGTGCCTGTGTGTTGGGGTTTACCCCAGTGAATGAGAGGGTAGCCTCTCTCCGCCTACATCCTACATGTGGGGGGGACAGGTTCTGACTGTGGTCTGTGTTTATGCACCAAACTACAGTTCAGACTACCCACCCTTTTTGGAGACCATGGGGGGGGGGGGGGGGGGGGGGGGGGGGGGGGGGGGGGGTTGGTGCTGGAAAGCGCTCCTTCCGGTGACTCCCTCGTTCTGCTGGGGGAGTTTAACGCTTGATCTACGTTCCTACCCTCACCTATGGTCATGAGCTTTGGGTAGTGACCGAAAGAACGAGACCGCGGATACAAGTGGCCGAAATGAGTTTTCTCCGAAGAGTGGCTGGGCTCTCCCTTAGAGATAGGGTGAGAAGCTCAGTCGTCCGGGAGGGGCTCGGAGTAGACCCGCTGCTCCTCCACATTGAGAGGAGCCAGTTGAGGTGGCTCGGGCATCTGGTCAGGATGCCTCCTGGATGCCTCCCTGGTGAGTTTTTCCGGGCACGTCCAACCGGGAGGAGACCTAAAGGTAAACCCAGGACACGGTGGAGGGACTATGTCTCTCACCTGGCCAGGGAACATCTTGGGATTCCCCCGGAGGAGCTGGCCCAAGTGGCTGGGGAGAGGGAAGTTTGGGCCTCTTGCTTTATGCTACTGCCCCCGCGACCCGACTCCAGATAAGCGGATGAAAATGGATGGATGGAGTTTAAAAAGACCGTGATCCTTCTTGTGAGGCGAGCGGCTAATTTCTCATATCTAAAGGGGGACAAGCTCAATCTAATTAAAGGTCAAGCATTTCTCTCACTTGACATGATTCATAACTAAACAAAGTCGTTTTAGTCAAATCTTGGTTGATATGTTGAAAATATGCCACACAGAGCTCAAATCAGATGAATTCTGGGGGCTTTTTTTCTAAATATAGGTGAAATTAGTATAATAAAGGTTATTTGAAATTATAAAAGCAAAATAGTCTCTGTGACTTACTCTTGAGTGTTGCATTTTGACAGTTCACCTCACTGCACTCTGCATTTATTTGGCAGATGCTTTTATCCAAAGCGACTTACAGTTCATAACCTATAGGGCATGTTAGGATCATCATCTAAATTTGTAGAGGCTCCTCAAAGTAGGTTGCTCGCACCGCTTAGGCCATCACAACCCATTTCCTGGAGCAAAATAAGCAGACATTGTGACTGTTTATCCTCACTTTTCACGTATGAGAGGTTGCAGTCGAGCAGAAATCCTTTAAAAAAATTGCAGAGAATCTGTTACACATTCAGAAAAAACATCACTTTTATGCACATGAATTGTGCACGGGTGGCAGACTGGAGCAGTGCTGTCAGAATTACACATTCTCTGCACACTGTGACCCATTTTTCATAAACTGACAGCACAGACTTGAAACACTAGTTTGCATTCCCAAAGTCGTCCATCCCCCCTCTTTGTGTTTGCACTTCTTTAAAGTCCTTTCAAGGCCGTTTTCGTCACAGAGAGCAGCTCGTAATTCTTCACTTTCATTAAGCTTAGCAGGCTGTCTTTGTGAGAATTAAAGCAAGAATGCAATCTTTGAGAAATGATGAATTAAAGGAAGGTCCGTGTTGCAGAAGCTGTGACAGTCAGGTAGATGCACTGTAAGAAATGAAGTGTTAACTTAACCAAGTTATGTCAACTGGTTCAGTTAACCCTTTAAGCGCTAAGCGTCATTACTGACTTTAACGAGCCACGGCTACAAATATGATCCTTCATGAAGTTTCTACTTTACACCAGAAGATAGTGGAGATGTGTGACATTCATGGGTGTGCTTACGTTGGAAGTTTTAGAGTTTTTAGAGTTCAAAACTGCCTCCTGCCAAGAGGCTCCCAGTCGGCAAATTTTAGAGGGATAAAACTTACAATTGCCGGCAGGTCTGGTCTTTGTTGACTGATCTCTTTGTCTGATCATGACTGACTCCGATTATAATGCAGAATATTGACTTTCTGATGAAGAAATTCACTCATCCAGCCATTGCACTGCTGCTGCAGCATGCAGCAACAGACAGCTGGTGCTGCACTTACAAGCTCCAAACGCTGGGTTTGAAGTTTGTTTCACTGTGTTTGGGACATGGTGGATGTAGAAATGATGGCAAAAACACTGCTAATGTGACAAACGTAGCGGCAATGTGAAAAAAGCCATATAAAAGGAGAGATGCGTTACAAATGGAAGTCAAATATTCTTTCCCTTGGATCAAATGATCATGACATTCAAGGGGAGGACATCCCTGAAGCTTAACAAGCCCAATAGAACCTGACAAACATGGCTAAAAAGTATTCTCTTGAGTGAGGCCAATATAAATATAAAAATATTACAATATAAAAGATAAACAATGACATTTAAATATCAAGAGCTCGATAT